TCAAACTTGAAACTGACTCTCTAAAAGAGAGTCAAGACTATTTAAACATGCTTACAGAAAAGATTTCTGTAGAAATAAGAGCTAAATGTACTACATAGTAATTACAAATTGCTGACATAGTTCTACTAAATTTCATGTATAAAGTCTTACTCAAGCTTAAATTCAGTGTTGATATCATGTAGCTTCTGTATTAGGTCAGTATGCTTTAGAATGAATGTATGGAAGTTTTTTTTTTACTACTTCAGCACAGTTCAGGTGACTTGTCAGAAGCAAGACCGTAAAAAGACAGCTCTTCTTGAAAATGGGTAGATGTAACATTTTGGTAAGGGAAAGTACTGACAGAATATATTTATGAAATATCTTAGGCCTTTTAATTAACTTGTGGTAGTATAAACATGCTGAAGAAATTAGGCTATGGTATTTAAAAAAAAAGATTAAACAAAATTGCCCAGTCCAGAAGGCCTAATTTCTGTGAGTACATAACATTTACTGAAGTAATTTGTAATTAGTAATATTTTTCACTAAATAGTGTATATAATGAAAAACCTTAGTCAAACTTCACTTAAAATCCTGTTCTTCACTTGCTTAAATATTTTGGTTTAATACTTTATTATCTAAGTCTTTCAATTCAGTGGCCTGCTTTAATTTAGAACAGGGTACTTTTAGTCAGGTGATAAAGTTGAACCTGACAATATTTTGTTATGCTCTTTGAAGTTTGATGCTGCAGAGTATGGTTTTGATTCTGGCAGCTGGACTTTTCCTGCTCACCTCATGCCATCACAAAAACTTTCAAACAATATTTGGTTTTATAGTGCAAGCCCTGTCCCTGTCTAAATACAAATTATTAGATTAATAATGACTGAAAGTCATTCCTGAGGGCATAAGCCCTAATGTTGCTAATCAAGGATCTTGTAATAAAAGGTCTCCTATAATAAAAAGTGCAGTACAGAAGGATACGTGTAGAGTATCATGCCTTTTTTTTTCAAGGTACCCTGTGAAAGAGATGCTAAGATGGAAAGGCTGACAGAGGGTGGCCAAAGACTCCTCTCCTAAAGCTGTTTTCCATTCTACCACAGACTGAATCTTTCTAGGACACAGTTTAGCAAGAAGCAAAGAGGGAAGTTACTCAATGTGAGGTTTCTTCACAGAAGTAGTTCGGTATATTAAACAGCCATAGTGAAGATAAGGCTTGGACTCTAGTGATTAAAGATTTTATTTAAAAAAAAGTAAAAATCCAGTTTTATGCTATAGGATGTCCTGTTTTCACCAAACTAACAGCATCAAGGAGGGAGAAAGAAAGCACCTAATGTATTGGATATGCAGAAGACCTGCTGGGTAGAAATAGCAGGTGCTAAAACTGATAGGGAGGTTTATGTCAGATCTGGGGCCTTTGAGGACTATGTTTGTTAGGAGTCTGCCAAAGGGTCTATGGGGAACAGTGCAGGGGAAATTAGAACATATTTGAACCTTTTTGAAAATCGGGGTAATGCAGGCTCCATAACTACCCCAAAGTAAGAAAGAGCATCAAATCACTTACTATTACTTTTGCTGTCCTCTCCCTCTGTTTCTATCCAAATTCAGGAAATACATCAAATGTTTAAACATTTTTTTTTCCAACTTTAAAAATATCTTTATTACCATATGGTAAAAATCTGTGGTAGTTTTCAATTTACTAGAAGAAATAAGGAATTGATATATAGGATTGAGAGAAGTAATAGTATGCAGAAGTGTTTGCCCTTGGGAAATAGCTGCTCAGATGGAACACTGCCATTTTGAGTCCCAGAAGTACATTTTCATGACCCGCACTGTCTGGGTTTCCGTCAGAGAGCTCAGGCTGCCAAAGGGTGCCACTCCAGCACTTAAAAGGATTGCACTTAGCCCAGGGTGTGAATATCTGGCAAGTTGACTATATCCAACTGTACATTCAGATCACTGTATTTGTCACGTTACTCTTTCAATTTCTTTTTCTGTTACAACCAGTAACAACTTTTTAAAATTTTATTTAAAGAAAAAAAATGTTCACTGGATTTTAAGTGTGTTCTTTTACATCTAAAGTATAAAACAACAAGCAGTAAAAATTTTGTTCTATACTTTCACTGTTAATACACAAATTAAGTTGATGGAAGCAATTCTGTATCTTAATAACTGAGCAGGGCTTATTGTATAATAAAGTTGGGTCCACTTACATTAATAAAAAGTGGAGAAGTGATGAGGAACATTAAAACAACCTAAAATGCATCATGATTTTTCACCATACCTTACTTGTGAGTTTTTTTAAGCCTTGTATGCTCAATACAGTTAGTGCATAAAATTGGTCTTTAAAGGGAACAACCCTGCATTTGCAAAGGACTGTTAGGTTAGCCGCCCTTTTCCAGGTCTGCTTTTCATGTGCTTTAAGACAGACAGAATATGATGCACCACAGTGTCAGCTTAAGTCAGAAGGACTCCTTTTGCAAACTATGGGGTTGTCCACACTAAGGCATAATACTTGCTTTGGACATCAGGTGTGACGTGTATAGTGACACCTCTGATTATCAGTTCTCCCTCTAGGTCTATGTAAACAATAGCATAGAATTTAACGAAATAAAAAACCTGCCACTATAAAACATTAAAGCCATCAAACTACTAAACAATTTCTTGTAGTTGTTACCAATAACACCTAATTAGTTATAAAAAAATTGAACTGGCTTATTGAACTCCAGCATCTAGTTTTACTTTTCATTCTCACAGTTGCTATGCTGACCAATATGTAACTTTCTCCTTACTTTTAAAATTGATTTATGGAGTTGTGAAATGAATTTTACAAAAGCAAATTACAGGGAAAATAATATCTTCCTATGTAAATTGAAGCGGTATAACAAGGAATGGTTACGGTAGATATTTTTTAAATAGGTATTAGTTTGGGTTAAATTTTTTAAAACTAATTTTCTACCAGTAATTAGTAAAGAGTTGGTAATAAAAAGTAAGATTTCAGAACAGTTTCAATAACATCTGTAGTTCCAAAAGACAAATAGCAGTCAGTGTTCTGGGGTCTTTCTGTAACTAACTAAACCAACATATTATTCTTACAGAAAATTCTGTACTTTGGTATCTGAAGATATAGTCTCTGTGGCTCAATGTTCCATAACAACAGATGTTCTGAATAGAGATAAAGACAAGGAGTTTCTCAGCTAGCCACTTTAAAGGCAGTTTTTAAGGAAAAGTGATCTTTTCATTTAGATGAGAGGGCAGTTTAATAACTTCATAGAAATGAACCAAAAGGATCTTCTGTAAAACAGTAGCTGGTAAGCCTGCATTGGCACTGGATGAATCCCTTTTAGGCAAACATCTACCTGTTTCTTTCCATATAATTATCACAAGAGGTGATAATAAAAGAGGTGATAGCAGTAAATACAGTGACAAATTATACTACCTATGAAATACAGAGTAGCTCTGTATTTATAATGCTAAATTTATCCCTTTTCATTTTTTTAAATTCATCTCTTCAGCATTACATGCTAGGTAGATCTCATTAGCTTATGAAATTGCTGCAGATGACAAAATAAAGAGCAAAACTACCAATCCGTACATCCAATTGAAAATGAGAGAATATACAGTTTGATCACTCAGGTCATTCATACTGAAAGGCAGGTGTTAGTATCTCTGAGATAGGGCAGAGGCAATGATCAGATACTACTTTTGGTCTTAATCAATCCTGTCCCTACAGTATGGGTTACAGATTCCTTATTTTGTTTTATTTTGGTTTTTTTTTCCCCAAATGTGAACTTCTAACTAACAAGGTTCACAGATTTCCAAACGAGAATTTCAAATCTCTCTAATACATTGGAGGTGAAGTAATAGAACTAGGTTTTGTTCTCTTAGGGTTTAACTCCTCAAGGTTCTGTTACCCCTAAGAGATGTTTGCTCCTGAACTGAATAGTTTTCAACAGGATCTTCAGAGTACTTAATGCTTGACAGAGCTTTCATCGTCTTGCAGAACGAAGTTTTCCAGGTAGTCCTTAGTACAAGCTAGAACTAGTTCCTTCTAGCTCCTATTTGGTAGACTCTTGCATTAAAGCTGTGCAAAACAGAAAAACTCGGCTTTTCACCATGCCTAGCAGTGCAGGCTGGAGGAGCCACATGCGATTTGGAGTAAAACAGTACCCAAGTGTTTCACCCAGGTTCTTTATTAATCCCACACAACACAAAGATAATTCAAGGAAGCTATGTATATGCATATAAAGGAATCATTTGATGTTAAACCTTAAGCATGGTTTCCGTTCACCCAAATCCTGTTTGCTTTGACTTTGGAAAGGACAAATCAGGATTTGTGCCGTAGTGAAGTTTTCTGCATTTTGAAATATTAGTGTATTTAGCATTTTTCTTTTTATGTTACCTCGTTTAAAAAAGAATTTTGCAAGAGAAGGTTTATATTAAATTACTCATATCTCTAGTTTATTCTCCTAAGACTCTGCAAAAGACTTTTGTATGTATTTGGATGACAGTATATGAGAATATACTATGTCATTTTTAAAATAAATAGCAGAAAATTCATTTTCTGATGGCAATCGTATTAGACATAAAAAACAAAATATTTCACTTTCAATATCCTCCTTTCAGATGCACGAAGTAAATTGCAATTACTTTTTTCAAAAAACGCTTTTTACATCTTTTGCAGTAGTGCCCTTTAGTATCCATATCAATATAAATATTGTTTTATTTTTATTAGACTTCATAAATATATCGACATATCTGTAACACTAAACATGAAGCTTCCAATGCAAGAGTTTGTACATAGTCCATATCCAAATGTCACCATTATTTCATTTAAAAGATCCCAGCATGTCTACCTCATGATCCTTATAAACTCTATAGTACTGAAATACGTCAACACTTTTTCTTGCTACATTCATTAAAATTAAGCACCCTTACCCTACCCCATCTGTAAACATCAAGTCAATTGGCAGCTAGCACATTTCCCAGTCAGCAAGCAGTATTGTGAATTTTATCTTCTCTTGCAGAAATCAATTCGTCTTCGTTGCAGCAGATGAAATTTCTTGTAACACCTCTGCAGGTAACAATCATTGATACTTCTTGATGCATCCATCCAGGTGTCAATATCCTTTTTCACATGCTGCATTTAATCGTAAGAGAAAGCATAGGAACGTCCATAGTATAAATCTTTGAAATAGTTTAATTAATTTATAGCTTGAGCCTATAGGTTCTGCCATATAAAAGACATTAGGTTATTTTGCTGACTTTGGTGTTTTATTTCCAGTTTAAATATCATATGGCCTAGAAAAGTAAGGATATGTTAAACCTTCTAATAAATACTTACTGTGCAGTACAATCAAGATTGTGACTTTAAAAAAGCCAAAACAAACAGAACTAATGAAAAGAGTAAAGGCTTAGATGTATGTAGGACATTGTAAGTGCTATAGATTTAACAATTTTCTTTTCAACTCTCTGGGGGCAAATATTGCCCACAAGGGTACTGCAGACCCTAAAGCACTCACAAAGTCTATCCTATGGATAAGATAGTGGGAGAAGAGGGTCTGTGTCTTCAGAGGATCGCTCTCTAGTAAGTAAAAAGTCTTAGCTGCTTTGCTAATATACTATCATGTTATAAGCCGTGGGTACAGAAGAATGAACAATGTTTTTAAAAGGTAATGGTAATTTATAAATATATTGAATATGTCAAGGGATTTTCTCTCTTTTAAGCAATAGAGTTTGAACAATCTTAGTCTTAATTCAGGTAAGGATGGTATTATGTCACTACATAAGAAATCAAAAGCCACGATAAATAGTAACAGTGCCGGGACATATTCTACCAATAATGTTATGCAAAAGATCTACTGAGTTCATAGAAGCTGCTTGTATTGAAGGATGGAAGGATATGTAGTGTGACACAAAATGTTGGTGTTATTTATAGAGTTTTACATTAGCAGAAATAAATGAAAGGTGAAGAGTTTTCTGTTTATGCCATAGTGACCTACATAGAAACAAATAAAAACATTTTTTTATGAAAAAGAAGATCGTAGCTAAAGCCAAAATATGCCAAAACTGTAATAATCTGTATGCTAGCCATAGCATTTTTGGTGGTAATCTGAAAAGTTCTTCTGTAACAAAACCTGATTTAACATAGATTTTTCAAAGCTCTAAATCATTAAGAGAATACATTTTGAGAATTCAACATTTGACACTTTCTTGATCTCAGTAGACTTGGATTTTGGCTTTCATTATTTCACCTGTGCTTCCTGCTCAGCTCCGGATTAGTGTGAGTTGTAGTAGGGAGGCTACCAATTTATAAATCTAGGAATAAATATAATTATTTTAGCAATTTTTTAACTTGGAATTCTTGAGATAGACATGCGGTCTTTAATACTTTTCTTGTCCTGAAAACAATTTCCTGTTTTGCGGAGTGAACCTTTCTAAGCAATGATTATTTCTCTAATAAAGACATTTTTTTCCCCTCAGTTCAGGCACAATTTAAGTGTCCAAGACTACATGGTACATATTCCGTATATCACTACTTTGGAATTCCAGTCAAAAACGTAGCGCTCTTGTTTATCAGTAAATTCAGTGAACTTTACACAGAAAGAAATAGATTTATTAAAACTTTTCAGTTTACCAGTTGATTACCTCTGTTGAATTAATTCAACAATAAGGTATTTTTGTTAGGTATGTTTTTGACCATATGATAAACATATCCATCATAGGTGACTGTAGGTGCCTTTTTTGTAATATGGTCTGAAGGAGAAAGCTAATGAAAGCCTGTATCTTCTGTTTCTTATATACCTAAATTTTAGTCATAGAATTTAAAGGACTTCTGGCTTTACAAAAAAATAAATGTCTGGCCCATATTCCTGTGGTACCAGTTGCCAAAGTTGCATTTGGTCTTTCAAATCTGTAAGTTGACTTTCAGCTAATTTATTATCTGATGTTTTGTGTTTTAATACATGGAGCATATCTAGAGATACGTAAACTTCTAGAACCGAAGCTAACCTTCCTGTGGTTTTTCAGATGCATGCAAAACACCTACAGTACAATTTTATAGTGCTTTTTTTAGTGCTCCTAAACTCCATTACAGTAATTCAACTGTGTTTGTAAAATTAATATAAAGTGAAGATACTGACAATATGCTCAATGTCTGAAATGTGAGTATATGTATGTTTGTATTGTTTCCTTGTAAAGAATGTGCGTGTTTGTAGATTTCAAATAATAATATAACAAGTAAACTTTTGGTTCGAACTTTATCATCAAATGGAAATGGGAGGTCTTGGGTGATTCTGCTGGTAATATTCACCCTTCTCTTCCTAATACTTTATCATTCCTGCCAGAGGGTACTTAGCCCTCAGCAACACGACATCGTTTCTGATTTGGGAATCAAGTAATCTTGAATAAATAAATGTGTTAATGAATGGATAGTGTGTCCATATACACATTTCTATTTATGTATGTGTATCTGTTCTTGCATGCACATTATATAAAGAAAACATATTCACGTATCTGACAGAGGGATCCTTCCATGGAAAACTTAAAAATAATTCACTCTTGATTGCATCCAGTGCATTCTGAAGCTAAAAGTAATTACTCTTCAGAAGAGAAGTTCTGTGCTTCTGGGATAGATCGTCTCTGGCAGGCATGATTAAAGAGTTTGCAAACAGACCTGAACTAGAACAGAGGTAGGGAAACTATCGGAAACCTCCTATCAGTTTGATGATGAAATTTTAACACGGATCTCTGAACACCCTCTAGCAAATCTCTGACAATGGGTACATTAGGGCAGAATTAATCCTGAGGTTCCTGGCTGATGGGGGCAATGGGCATCTTGCCCTAATAGGCTCCTGGTAAATCAGAATGAGACCCAGAATAAGCCCATGGTTTATTTACATGTTGGTTACAGAACATTGTTCATTTTGAATCTTTAGCATTTTTAATGAATTTTTCAAATGAGTGCTCAATATACTTTTTTTCTTTTAGGTTTTGTAAGATCAAAATTCATAGTTTGTAAAGAAATAAATATTTTGTAGTGTCTTTTCCAAGTGTGTTCTAGGATGTACCTGCATATTACATTTTATGATTTTTGTGTAGATATGGGACAGGATCATTATTCTATATTTATATCACTCTTTCTTTCTTCCTCCAATTTTTAACTGTTATCCAACTTCCAACTACAAACAAAAAAATCCAGTGCGGTTGCATGCCTCGTATTATTTTTCTTCCAAGTGTATATGCAGTTTATGATTTTGAAACAATAGAGAAAGAGGCAAGTGTATATATAAACCTAAATTTGGAATGAAGTATGGTGGAAGTGGATGTAACATCTGTCCAATTGTGACTGTATTTATTTACATATTTGAGCAGAATCATCCCCAGGAGGTGGGATTGCATGTGTGTGTGTGCAAAAGAAACGCATTATACAGCTTTAGAAGATGACAGTCTTAGATTAAGTTATTGACCTCCATTTGGAGAAAGATACAGTCTCCAAAACAGATTAAACGTTCTGAAAGGTTTGATTTTATAACTCTAGGAAAAACGTTTCACAAAAGCAGGCAGCTTAAAGAAGCAAACATTGGAGTTTGTACTATTGAAATAGTTTGAACAGAATATTGGCAATTTTTAGCCAATGCAATTGCCCACGTCATTGCAATTTTCCTCTATACTATCATTAACATGTCAACACTAACACTACCACAAATTTAATTCATGAAACAATAGCAAATATGGAGATACTTTTTTAGAAGCAAATTAATATTTGACAAAGTGCTTAGAATGGTTAAGGTGCCTGTTGTGGCCTACCTCTGCTATGGCACATAAATAATCGTAACTGGACAAAATTTTGCCATACATGCTTGCATACAT